CTCATTTCTGCCCATATTCATGCCTGTCCTTTCTTTTTTCTCCGGTTTCACTCTCTCTCTCTCTCTCTCTCTCTCACTCTCTCTTCCCCCCTCTCTATATATATATCCACCCGCTAGATGGCGCTGCTCACCTCAGACTCGAGGTCCCTGCGTACGGCGTCCAGCTTCTGGTTTCTGTCCTTCTCGAATTCCAGCTCCTCAGATGCGCGCTGGGCGTCGGCAACGGCCTTGGCGACGATGTCCTGGGCGGACTTAGCAGCATCGCGGGCGTCGCGTGCCTGCGGGACGACATATAGATGGCGTTAGTGTCGAGGCTGTGTATAGAGGGCGTTAGTGTAGTCGTATGTATATAGAGGGCGGTAGTGTCGAGAATATCATGGTAAAGTTTAATATATTGCAATTATTATTATTATTACTACTTTTATAAAGTTTTGTGTATATATAACGCTATATTACCAACTCCATGTTTGGTATTACAGGAATGTCACCAGTGGCGACTCATGGTGGTGAATCCATGACCACAAATCGCGTGGAGTACTCGTACGGTCGCACGCAGCGCAGCTACCAGTCCGGCCAGCAGGAGGCGCTCCGAGGCGGCATCGCCACGTCTCCCCGCAGTCCTCCGCTCATGGGGTAATTAAGTTTAATTAATTTTTAATATGAATTAAATTTTCTGTTTTTAATTTAATTTAATTAAATTCAATATTAATTTTTTATTAATTTTGAAGGTAAATATTAAGTTACCTACTACGTCATTCTTTCTTGCCGTCTGCCTTCCCTCTGTAGCTCTCGCGCAGCGCCCACGCGCCGATATCCTTCACAGCTATGGACATACAGTTCACTGCTCCAGTGAAGCTGGGAGATGGCGTATGGTATAATGTGGATAATAACATCGTAATAAACTGACAGATAGCGAGCGTGCTCGAACAGCTGCATGACTATAAAATACCAGCTGTGCACAACGCTTGTCAACACGCGCTGCTCCCACGTGCCGTAATTTATCATTACAATACAAATAATAATAATGCTAATAATAATACTAATAGTAATAATAATATTAAGAAGAAGAAGAAAAAGAAAAAGATGAAGAAGAGGAAGAAGAAAAAAAAGAAAAAAGAAGAAGAAGAAGAACAAGAACAAGAAATCCTAATTATAAAAATAAAAATAAAAATATTATGAATCACGTGAATTTCCATCTTAGTTACAAAAACATGTAAATGATGTATATACAAACTAGGAAATATACAGTCACCATAGTAGTAGCTAGTAACCAATCTAGTAACTAGATCTGTTCTCTTCTCTGTATGTAATTTCCAGTATGGGATTACCTCTGTTATATGTAACTCTTCGTTGTGGGTATAACCAAAACCTCTGAATTGATCTCTTCTATGAGACACTCTTGTATAGGACCTCCATCCGTTTGCAAGCACCGGTATGCGTGACTCCTATAAGCACGCCCCTATATTTGACAGCCCTGTATGTAACCCCGTAGGTAACCGCCATATGTGAACCACTATCTGTAACCTTCCTTCTACTATGTGAGTTCATCTGTAGTGACCGTGAGACTTCACAGAAGCTGTCATCACCTCTCACACACGCGTCTGTCAGTAGCAAGGGTTAAATATAGCAGAGCGGTAGTGAAAATAAATGTGTTTTTTTTTTCGTGGGAGTGATTTATTTTCTTTTAAACCCCGACGGCTTACTGTGCGCCTGTTTCTCGAACTGTTTTTGCGCGGTGCATCACTGGCGGTTGGGTTAGTCTACGCAGCACCCCCTGCTATGTAGGCGAGGCGCATGTCTTGCTCTCATAACACGGGATAGTGATGGCATTAACGCTAGTGCTGTATAGTAGACTGGCTGTACCCGTTCTCCCGTGTCAGTAGCTCCGTTAGACGGGAACTTCTGCTGTTGTCTTGGTTGTTGCGGTTGTTGCTGTGGTCTTGCTGTTGCGTTGGTGTCACGTACACGTTATTATACACGTACACTATTGTGTTCTGTTCTTACGCACGTTTGGCTCGAACTCCCGCTGCTTTTGTGATGTCTTATATATGTTTGAGTCGAATGCTGGTCTAACCGCGGTGTTCCGGTGTTACTTGGGCGTGTACACCAGCTACTATTGTTGTGTTGCATACGTTAGGGTTGACCCAATCCCGTGCTACGCTTACGGTTTCACATGTGCTGGATTCGGACCCCGACCAGTGTTCCGTTGTCATATGTGTTCGGTGCGAACCTTGGATTTTGATGACAGAACGAGTGGATTAGCAAAACAGCTTTGGTAATGCTGCCGTTGAAAGCTGTTCGTGAGAGTGTAACATATGGGACACACAGCGAAGCAGCAGCACACTCACGATCGTGACGCGCGTATAGCCGTCTTTAGGACTGAATCCTTTCCTCTTCGACTCGCCACTGATGGCTGAAAACCATGAGCGAAAGTGAGTAATGACGTAGTCACGGTGCAGCAGAAACTGACGCGTCTGCTTTCGGCGGGGACTACGAGTGAACCCTAGCGACCGGACCCGCACCCCATCAAGTTTATATCACTGATGCACTGTCGCGATGAGTACAGAATGCCAATCCCTCTCGTGAGATACATGCATGCTGTACAGTGTATCGTACTTACAAACTCTTCACACACGCACACACACGCAAGCGCGCGTTGTTCCCCTCTGTTGTCCTATAGTTCACCTTTTTGTTTCGGAATCACATGACGTAAAATTGTAATCCTCGCTCCTTCCATCGTGTTTTGCAGCGTTTATCATACGTCACAGCGCGTTTATATCATCGTATACGTGTTCATTGTGATATATACATGTTCACATAATATTACATGTATGGAGAGCGTTCATCGTACGATATGACATCAGAAGTGTCATAATATAGACTCATAGACTATATTATGATCATATAAATTATCATATATATTATTATCGTATATAGATCTATGTTATGACATTCATGTTATATATCTGTCTTACAGTGGTGATAGAGGGACCTCGCCCATCAGAGGGGAGATCGTGCCTGGCAGCCAAGGGTCACCAGGCAGCTTCTACCAGGGCGGTTCACGTAGATCCAGCATATCATCGGTTGGTGAGTATCTGCTTACACTTTCTACAGCAGGATTTTACGTTGCCCTTGATGCGTGAAGATGCTGCATAACGCTGCATGAAGTATTGGCGACGGAACAATGCGTTCGGTAAACTCTAAAAGTAGATTTCAGGTGAAAGGTTCGGAACCAATTTCGTATTCCACATAATGTGTCGTTGTTGATGTATATGTTACATCGGGCGACGTTTGGTTCACGTGCATTGCAAGGTAACGGATGCCATGATACGGATAAGCTTCATATTAGCGTGCAATCAGCCGTCGTTCTCCTACACGATATAATCATACGTGGTCGATCTCACTCAATAATTCAGGCCGTTTTGTAGCGATTTATTGAGTAAGCAGGAGAGAGAACAAGAAAAACGCGAAGAAGGGGGAGAGAGATAAGGGAGAATGGTTACCTCGTTATCGATTCGGCCTAATTGCCTAGTAGCGCATTGTCGGATTGTGTGGGAAAAATCTTTCAGCATGAGCTTTAGCTGTTCGGCGGCTTCCACGATTGCATTATTCATCGGATTTCGATTTTCTAATGATTCCCATCGATGTGATCTTTAGTGGCTTAATGAAATGGGCATCATTGCATAGTTAATGTACGCTGAAAGCTGCTCTAACAACGATATATAAGCGCATGTGAATTGTGAATATCATCAAATATAAGAGTCAAACAAAATGCAAAAAATGTCAAGGAAACCAGTTCTCATCTTAGAATTCTGACATACGCATTCGCGTGTGTGCGTGTTCATGTGCGCGTGCGTATCCGTGTGTGCGTGCGTGTCCATATACGCGTGCGTGTCACCGTGCGCGTTCGTGTCTGCGTGCGCGTGCGTAACCGTGTGCGCGTGCGTATCCATGTGTGCATGCGTGTCCGTGTGCGCGTGCGTATCCGTGTGTGCATGCGTGTCCGTGTGCGCGTGCGTAACCATGTGCGCGTGCGTATCCCTACACGCGTGCGTGTCTGCGTGCGCGTGCGTACGTTTGCGCGTGCGCGCGTGCGTGTGTATGCGGTCATGCGGTCAGGTTTCGGCTTCGTCTGACAGCTAGAATTCTCACGCGCCTGGGTTTCGCTGGCTGTGACTGAACAGCAACATCACACGGCGGCATGTCGCTGGCTGTGACTGAACAGCAACATCACACGGCGGCATGTCGCTGGCTGTGACTGAACAGCAACATCACACGGCGGCATGTCGCGCACCGCCAGGCACGATCCTGCCGCTTACACACAACGCGACGACACATCAAGCTGCGATGCTACTAGCATCTTCTGTCTTGAGCTGGCAGCGTCCGTGAGCGACGCTTTGTCTATTGGGTTTGCGTTTAGTTTCCCGTGTAAGCATTGGCCGCCGCGCCCTGAAACGATATAGCTGCTTGGACGATTGGCTCCAATTAGGCGCTTTATTTTCGCCGACTATAGTCGGGCGAAACTAGCGGCATGCATTGCTATCATCACATGATTCCTGGACCATGTTTATATATATATATATATATATATAGTTCGCGGTGACTGCGACATGACACTGCAAAGTTAAAACGTGCGGGCTTGTATTATCAGGAGTGTCATAATATAGATCTATATTATGACACTCCTGGTATTATTACACAGCGCGACTATAAAAATAAAAAGATCAACGCTCCCACTCTCTGTTCATCAGTGTAGGGGGTACAGTGTGTCGGTATCCATATGTCTGATTAGGTAATGTCACCTCATTGATGCTGGAGACTGCAATAATCGTTACTTGGTGGATTGCGGCTGACTTGCTATATATGTGTGCGAGCGTGTGTGCGTGTGTGTGTGCGTGCGTGCGTGCGTGCGTGTGTGCGGGTGTGTTATGCGCAATGCTATCATCGAGGTTCTTAATGCCAAACGCCAAACTAATGTATTTCGAGTCGCGCGCTAGGCGTTACTGCATGCACCCATGCTGTCGCGCGCACGCACGCACCCACGCACGCACGCGCGCGCGCGCACACACACATATGCACGCACGCTGCGTGTTAAACATGGTTGACGCGCTGAGTGGACGGAAGCTCAAAGCCAAACGCGGCGGCGCAAAAATAAAGCGGATCATTAATATCTGGATTTTTGTCGAAAGTCCGTGCGAACGGCGACGGAAATGCCGCTGTATAGGCGCGAACGCACGCGCCGTTCGTAATTTCTCATTCTTCATTCTTCTTTCGCGTTTCTTTGCGCGACGAAGAAAGAAATATTGTTTCCACGCGTTGCGCGTGCTCTGTAAGGAAGGCTGTCACGCGATTTTTCATCGTCCTATTTCTGCAAAAAAACGACGTGTTCGCAGACACTGTGGAGTGATTTTCAGTTTGCTTGCGACTACATTATGTAGGCAATCCGTGGGCAACCATCCACGGGTAAATATTAAAAGCGAATTCCTACGCAGCCAGCGTTCCTGCGCGCCGCGTGTATATATGCGCACGAGTCTGTGACAGAGTTTACCCTCAAATCACGGAGATTGGATACGGGCGAGTACGTGAGGAAACAAGAGTGAAGCCTGCGAGCGAGCGTGTGCGAAACGATGGTACGGCAACGCCGCTGAAGCGCGAAGTGCGACGCGCCTGAAATTGATTCAATATTATCAGCCGCCTGTGTAGGGCAGTGAAAAGCTCGACAGTGTCAGCTCTGTCTCTCTCTCTCTCTCTCTCTCTCTCTCTCTCTCTCTCTCTCTCTCTCTCTCTCTCTCTCTCTCTCTCTCTCTCTCCTTTCTCTCTCTCTCTCTCTCTCTCTCTCTCTCTCTCTCTCTCTCTCTCTCTCTCTCTCTCTCTCTCTCTCTCTCTCTCTCTCCTCGTCTCTCTCTCTCTCTCTCTCTCTCTCTCTCTCTCTCTCTCTCTCTCTCTCTCTCTCTATCTCTCGCTCACTCGCTCTCTCTCTCTCGCTGGCTGTCTCCCGCACAACGTCACACTTGTCTATGTAGCGGAGCGTGCTGTCGTGTCGGCCGCATGCGCGTGCTGCCGCCGTCGCAGCGACTGTCGGCTCACACAGAGTGCGACTTGCAGACGACGATGTGGAACATTGTCTTGCCGCTTGTCGGGACATTCTTTCACGTGCGACGTTTACGTGCGTTCTCCTGACTGCGGAACATCGGAACGCCGGCGTTGGTCTTTACGTGAAGGTGAGGTGAGGTTCGATGACATTCGTTGTTCCTGTTTCTCGGACGTTCACCGACGTTCGCTTGCGTTTGCCTGACTGCGGAACATCGGAACGCCGGCGTTGTTCTTTACGTGAAGAGAGACAGTGAGGTTCGATGACATTCGTTGTTCCTGTTCCACGGAGGTTCACCGACGTTCGCTTGCGTTCTCCTGACTGCGGAACATCGGAACGCCGGCGTTGTTCTTTACGTGAAGAGAGACGGTGAGGTTCGATGAGGTTCGGGCGAGCTATCGACCTCTCACTCAGCGGGAGATGCTTGCTTGCACCATGCACGAGCTCAGCTTGCTCCCTATACGTCTCTGCCTGGCTTCCACCCGCGACTGCACGGACTTATCCACACCGCATATTGCCTAGAACGCCGCCGACCCTTATAACGGATACCCGCGTTCGTGTATTTACTCCGTTAACCGCCGCGAAATTCGCTACGGCATTGCCGGTTGTTCCGTTGTGTGTGGAATTATTATGTTGATACCAGCAAGACTTAAAGAACGCAAGAACTCAAGCCAGCAAGACTTAAACGACGTGTGCGACGCGGGAGATTGCATTCGCAGCGAAGGAGAGGATCGCGTGACCGAAATGCGTATATATTATTATATATATATATATATATTTATATATGTTCTCGGCTGCTTCGCGCTTTACACACCGAAGAAAGCAGGATTGTTGGGTTCAACGTGATATCCGCCCTCCCCCATTTGTTGGGCGTAGATCGAATTTTAGATTGAAGGGCGGAAATTGAATTTTTGATTTGATTTGGAAATGTATCGTAATAAGGAGGTGACTATGATGGTCCCTCTCCGATATCGTGTGTTCATCCCAGCCAAACTGTTACCGACTGATAACTCCTACATAGGACATAACGCACGTAGCGAGAAAATCCTTAGCTAAAGTGTGAAGCATAATTGGGGGACGTTGCTCGCGTGCGGTGCATTATCCAAAGCTTGTAGGTCCAAACTTGTAGCAATCGACAGATCGTAGTTGCGATTGGTGTCGCGGGAGTGGTGGCCGGGTCTGTCACTGTGCACTGTGGCACTACACTGACAGCTACTAGCATTGTGACAACTAGCACTGCGACTACTAGCACTATGACAGCTACTAGCAATGTGACAACTACTATCACTGTGACAAGCGAGGCAGTTAGAAATGTGTGACAGAGATAAATACTGTACCTAACAACGTCTATATCAGCTCGTCTGCATGTGCACTGCTGCACGCGACAACTTGGATCGCCTGTGCACGATTGTTCGCAGCAACGTGCTTCATCTCTATACCGTACTAGTACAGGAGCTAGGGGGTATAATTATGCACTTTTTGACGCCCAGCAAACGTGACTCTTTTTTTTTCATTTGTGGCGAATTGTTTTCCACAACAACACGGTGACGTATGTGTCCGTGTGTTCTATCCTTGACGATAGCCTATAGAGATGTGTTCACCAGTGTAACGCCGTTTGCAGCGACGTGCGTGTAACTCTACGAAGTGCACCGTAAAGCCGCGGTCGTCGTCGGGAATCGAATCTAGACGATCCCGTATAACCCAGGCGAGTGAATGATCATCCATGGGCGTTTATGACGGAATTAACCACGGCGCGAAATGCGAGCATCGTCGGCACTTTGCGTGCGCGCGTCTGCGTGACGGACGTTGTGAATCCCGCCGCCATCAGATTCTATCGTCTGCCAGCACAAGCTGAGGCGCTGGGTAGATGGGGAATAGGAGGAGTAGTTGTCTGGAGCGCAGTGGTACGGCGAGGGCGTCGCTCGCGGCCGGCTATAGACGATTCACGGACCGCCGCATCAAGTACTCGCCACTCGAGACGCCCGACAGACTCGGT